GGGGGGGGGGCTCTTTTGCTAGCATTTTCCTCCCCTGCACCTCTGAAATTCTGTGGGCCCAGTTAGGATGGGGCAGAGGCAGGCAGGAAGACAGACCAAAAGACAGGAAGAAAAAGACAAGTAGAAGAGTGAGGCAGGTGGACAGGCAGATGGACAGGTGGACAGGCAGGCACACAGAGGGATGGAAACAGACAAGCAGAGGGACGGCTGGACAGTCAGGGGGAGAGATGAATAGACGGGCCAACCACACACAGGTGGAAATTCCGGCACAGGGCCAGCCAGACAAGGCAGAAAGACCATCTGACAGTCAGGTGGGTAGGCAAGGGGACCACCCAGGAGACCCCAAGACCAGAGAGCCCTCTCTGAGAGCAGCAATAAGGAATTAATATCGGTACATTTTCCAGGGACCGGAGGTCTTTCTCGGGCACCTCCGGGCGTCCCAGCGCCAGGCCCGGCCCTTCAACTGATATCTGCGGGGCCTCTCATGTTCCCGGCTGGGCCAGGCCGTCCCCCAAGACTGAGCTCTAAGCTGCCAAAATTCACTCTTTACATCCAAGAGGGGTCAGTGTTTTTGAAAGTTGTAGGAGCTTGGCAAGGGGGAGGAGGGGGCCCGCAGCGTCAGTGTTTCCAAACCTACCCCTCTCCTCTTTCTTTTTCCCCAGGGTGCCCAGCGCCAGGCCTGGTGCAGCAGCCAGCGAGCTGGGCAAGCTAGCAGGGCCGCCCGCTCCTGCCACTGGGGAGTTGACGGTGGAGGGGAGGCTGGGTGAAGACAGACATACAGCACACACGAGTGTCAGGGCTCAGGTGGTTCACGGGGACCCCCAAACACCTACAATGGGGTGCCAGCCCCAGAATGGAGTGGAGGCCATTCCTGGACAGGGTCATCTCCAAGGGGAGCCCGGGGGGGAGCCCACTCTGCCAACAAAGTTGGGGAGATGGTGACAGAAAGTGTGTGGGGGCCAATGAGTCCCTTTTGTGTCTGGGGCACAAGGAGACAGGCAGGGAAGAGGAAAGGGGACCCCGCTGTAGTGGCTCCGGAATGCAGAGAGGATGGGGGACCAGAAGCTGGATGTGGGGAGTACCTGGGACAGAGGAGCAGGGGTTGGAGATCAGGGTGAAAATAAAGAGTTGCGGTGGGGAGGTCAGAAGCGAGGTCAAGCGGGGATCAGGACCTGGGGATCAGGGTTAAGGTCAGACCGGGGGATCAGAAATCGGGCTC